AAGGCCAAGGGTGGGGTAGACCAGGGTCTGCAGACTGCTGCTCACGAGCCACGTGAAACTCTTTCAGTCCGTACATGTGCTTCTAAAGTCAAATGGAAGAACTGTACAGGGGCGAGGGCTCTTGGCTCAGGTTTAAAGTGTTGAGAGGACCAGGATTGGCTGGCCAGCCCTGGCTAGATGACCAAAAAGGCACAGGTGGACCATTGGCTCTGCACTGAGGACAGCCCGAGCCCCAGTCAGTAAGCTCCGGTGTGAAGAGCTGGTCCTGGCTGCCTTTAACCGGCCGCGGTTTCCGGCAGGCTTTTGCCAAGGTCTTCAACACCACCCCTGACGACTTGGACCTGCACGTCATCTACGATGTGTCCCACAACATCGCCAAGGTCGAGCAGCACGTGGTGGACGGCAAGGAGCGCACGCTGCTGGTGCACAGGAAGGGCTCCACCCGGGCCTTCCCGCCGCACCACCCCCTCATCGCCGTCGATTACCAGGTAACCCCTGTGCAGCGTCAGCTGAAGGGTCAGCCATTCAAAGCACCAGCAGCTCCGTGGGAGAAGGATGGGCCTTTCTACTCTCCTAAAGAGTTACAGCCTCGGAAACCCACAGGGACAGTTGTCTGCTGTCCTGTAGGGTCGCTGTGAGTCAGCATCGACTCATGGTGGCGGTGAGTTTTTAGCGAGTTGAGATGTAGTTTCCTCAGTTACAAATAATTTAAGGTCTTTGAATTATCGGAAGACGTTCTAGAACATAGGTTCCCAAATTAATTTGGCATATTGCCTCCTCCTCAGGAAAAAAATTACTCAGCACCCCCGGTAATTAAACACATAGTAACCCGTTATCTAGCATAAAGTATTAGGTAACTGCTTGTGCAGCCCCCAGATGGTTCCAGCCCCCAGCAGGGACAGTGTCACCCCCTTTGGGAAACACTGCTCTGGAGTGTGACAAAGACTAGGGTCCAGTTGCACAGAATTCCTCTCCTCCTCTCGGTGGCCAGCTGCAGCAACCCTAGTGACAGAGCGCTGCGCCCCCTGCGGCAGGTGCCTTCCCAGGCTGGCCTCCTCGTGACTCCCACAGTGGCACCTGGAGTTGGCTCTGCAGTCTGGGTCAGTCTGTGCGGCATCTTTACTGGTCCTCAGGCACCCCCCTGCGTCCACCTTCCCAGTCACAGATGCCTGAGACTGTTTCCCCAGGACCCTGCCAGGAGGCACTGGGTGGGAGGCCCCGGGTTCTCCCACAGGGCACTAAAGCCCCTGCTTCTGGGGTCTAACGGGTGTGCTTTGTGTGCATCCCCAGCTCACCGGACAGCCCGTGCTCATTGGCGGCACCATGGGAACCTGTAGTTACGTCCTCACCGGCACTGAGCAGGGCATGACGGAAACCTTTGGCACCACCTGCCATGGAGCGGTAAGGGAACCAAGCCCGGGAGAAAGGGCTTGGTCTGCTGAAGAGTGCCTCGCTCTGTCCTGGTGCAGGGCTAGAGAAGGTCTGAGGAGTCTTCTCTCAAAGAATACGCTTTGGGCCCACCTTTTCCCTGATCTTTGCCCTCCCCACTGCTTCCCCTGCCCCAGTGGTCCTTAACGTCTGCCTCTTGGTTGGGTCTTATGCCACCCCTACTCGGTGACATCTGGCACTGTCCGAGCTTTTGATTTTTAACCACCACCCAGGTGTTCATTTTGATGGTCACTCAGGAACCCAGGAAGGTGGCATCCAGTGGGTACATGCTGGGGATCTGCAGGCAGCCTCCCCAACAAGTGCTCATGTAGTCTAGCCGGCAGAGGCTGAAGAACCCTTTTAAGCCCCACCAAGTTTTTGTGGTGACAGATGCACTCTGGATAATTAACTATATTTACTTTACATGCATCATTAACTCAACAAATACACAGAACCTCACTTTAAATACAAAATGCTTTGCATAAGGAAGAATGTCTTTTTGAAGGAGGATATCAGGACACCTGTTAAAGTTAATAAAGTAGACGGAAGTTGTTTTCTGCTAACTCTTTGTGGGTGAAAAGGCCAAAGGACCCTGCATCTGCCAGCAGTGGCCGGGTCCGCACAGCGTTAGCCCTGATTCATAGGAAACGCACCCTGTCGTCCTAGGGCCGTGCATTGTCTCGAGCGAAATCCAGGCGGAACTTGGATTTCCAGGATGTCCTGGACAAGCTGGCAGATATGGGAATTGCAATCCGTGTCGCCTCCCCAAAACTGGTTATGGAAGAGGTAAGATTTAAACATCCAGCAGAAAGCCACAGACATGATTCTTGCTAGTATACAGAGGTGGCCATTTAGGATGTTATTAGCAGAAATGATGCTTGCTTCTGAAATGACTTTGTTTACAGTTTGTCTTGCTTTCTCTTTTGTTAGGAGGTTCCTAAGAGCCAAGTCCTTAACTATAGTTTTTACTTTCCATGTACAGTCTCTCTCCATAGCAGACTTTCAAAGGGAGTTTGAGTGAACTCATTGTAATCTTTCTTTTGCAAAACTTTACTGTTTAAACTTGAAAGCAGTCTTCAGAAAGGTGGAAGAAATGTTTGGGAAAATAAGGTTTTGTCTGAATCACAAGGGAGTAAAGCGTTTATTTAAATTGCCTGTGTACACATGCACCAGTATTGAAATTAGACGCAGCATCACTCCTGTCTGAAAAGTTAAGGGGCAGCCATCCAGAAGCTCAGTGCCCTAGCAAACTGTTGTGTGCCAGCAAAGCGCTGCCACTCAGAGTGACCCTACAGGGCCGAGCGGGACTGGCCCATTAGGCTTCTAAGGGTATCATCTTTGCAAGAGCAGGTCCCTAAGTCTGCAGTCCCCCAGAGGCTCCGGGTTGGGAACGCAGCCCTCTCCTGTCCAGCAGCGGAAGGCTGAGCCATGGTGGCAGCCGCGTTCCCCTGACATGACCAACCCCACGGGTTAGAAGACACTCCCTGCCATTTTCCAGTTCATCATAATCCGAGATAACAGATGCTCTGCAGTCCTTTGTTATGGTTGATCGTTAATGTGGGCTTCATCGATTTCGGTTCCCATGAACTCTCGGAAGCCCCCTTGACAGGTCTAAGCATGAGCAGAAACTTAGTTCAGTTGGCTCAGACCAAAGGAGTGGTTTCTCCAGGTAAGGACAGGGCAGTGGTGGAGGAACCAGACTGTTGAGGGTGGCACAAAGGGATGGTGGATCATGCTGGGCTCCGAGGGTGGTTGGAGACTGGCTGCATAGGGGAGTGAGCTAGAAAACTAGGTTGTGGTCAGCACCCTGGAAGTGGGGAGGGTATGGAGAGGTGGTGGTCCTTGGTCAGCACTGAGGTGTGACCCTAAGAGGGAATGAATGGGGTGCAGAAATCGGTCCTGATAGGACCCTCTCCCTGGGTGTTGACATCAGAGCAGAGAGAGTAGCAGTGAGCCAGAGTGGAGACTCTTGGGTGAGGCACTGACTAGAACAAAAGTCCAAGAAGAGGTGAGATTCAAGATTCAGACCTGGGAGTTCTGAGAGAAACCATTGGGAAGAGCAAGTACCTGTCACCCACCTTGGGGCCCAAGGGCATGGCCCAGTTTAGGGCAGAAAACAGTAGGGGGTAGGGGGTGGCCTCATGGTGAGAGCGGTGTGTCAGAAAAGGTGGATGGAGGGAACTGTTCAGAGAAAGGAGGGTGGGACAGAGTGTGCACCGCTCACTGGAAGGCAGTCCAGAGGCCACAGGAGTCACGTTTCAGAACTGGGGTTCTGAACCTTCAGAAGGGTCTGGTACCAGGCCCTGCGGGGATTGGGGGTGGGGGGCGGGGCAAGGTCATGTTACAGATGTGTGTGGTAGGATGAATCATTATGTTGGAAAGACCAGGTGGATAAGGAAGGTGTGGGGGTCTTGCTAAGAACTTACATGTAATCTGTACATGCACACACAATTACAGTTATGTGTTTAGATTAAATAGCTTTTTACAAAATATGTTCCGTGTACTTGGGTCAGCTGCAGAAATTCATAAAGGGAAAAAATTGAAATTGCCTTTTGTTGTCCACCATCCAGAGATAATTGCCACTAACGTAGAATGGTTACACTGATTTGTGTGCTTTAAGAAATACAGAAATAACATAAAGTAAAAGTGAGTGTCACCTTACCAGCATTAAGCTTAATCATTATCTTAATTGTTACTCATTTGATAGAAAAATCAATAATCTCAGTATTTTGAGTTTGTTTCCTGGAGTGCACTTGAAGTTTAATACTTTTAAAATTTCCATTTTAAGTAGACTTAAAATGTTCGCTTTTTCCCCTGCAGGCTCCCGAATCGTACAAGAACGTGACGGATGTGGTGAATACCTGCCATGATGCTGGGATCAGCAAGAAGGCCATCAAACTGAGGCCCATTGCTGTCATCAAAGGCTAGAGCTGGACCAGATCCCCCAGGCCCCTCTCGCCCTCACCGCCCGGACGTGGACGGGAAGGCTCTTCAGACACCGGCCAGAGACTTGATTGGTTCCCCAATGGGCAGCTGTGACTGCTCATCTCAGAAGGACTGGCAGGGCTCTGCTCTCCAGAGCCAGTGTTGTAAATAACCTCGGAGGGGCCGCATTGCCCCGTTACAGAGGGACAAATATGCTTCCTCTTTGATTGTCCATAGGAGTTTTTCTTTGTTTGTTTTTTTAATCTCTAGGGATTAGGGATGGGTCAAGAAAATTGCCTTTACCCAGTAGTACAAGTTTTTCTGTCAGGATTAATTTCCTTCTTCCAAGCTCTGTTTACATCCCAAAAGGTGTCGAGAAGGACATCCCATTAAAGATCATGTTGGAATGCTCCCTTCCTTCCTCAGTCTGTCCAGTCATCCACCTGCCCGCCCCACCTCCACACTGAGCAGTACTCTTACATACTGCTTGCACTTGCAGAGAAGGTCACCGGAACACGAGAGGAGTGGGCAATTGGACAAACTGAGAGGGGGGAAGTACGGGAGGGTAGTGGTGGAGGTGGAGGAATTGGAGCCCAAGAGGGACAGTAATTTTCTTAGGCTGGGTGCCATTCTCATTCATGGCATACATGGCAGAGTGTTGGCTCACCTGCAAAGTGGCATCTGCTGGCCTCTCGTTCCTGAGACGGGCCTGCAGTTCCTCTTGAAGGCTGCCGCACAGCAGCAGGGGGAGCGAGGCTCGCGCTGCATGGAAGGAGAGATGCTTGCGTTACTGAGCCCCGAGTGCAGCCGCTGTGGCAGGGTGGCTGCTCTGGGTCGGGTGACGAGGGAGGTCTGTGCCACTGAGCAGATGTCATGCTGTGCGTGGTGACACCGGAAGGACGTCGAGGAACCATGGCAACAGATTACAGGTTAAGGCTTTGATGGGTCTGAACAGCCAGTACACTAGAAAACTAATAAAGTGACCATATTATTTGCATTCCATGCTTACTGTTTTATAGCTTTAGAAAACGAGTGTTTGTGCTTATTCCCTGTGGGCAATGTTGCTCTTCCTTTGTTTTCTCCCAGGTTACCTAGAAGAAACCCGGCCAAAAAAGTATTCTCTCCCAAATCTTAGCTCAACTTAGCAATCAGCCTCCGGCTGACCAGATGCTCCATCTAGACGGGTTGAAGCGCTGAGGGCCTAGTGTGTCACGAGTTGGGCTGTTAACCACAAGGTTTGCAGTTCAAATCATCAGCTACTCGGGAGAAAGAAGCTACTCCCATAAAGAATTAGTCTGGAAAAACCACAGGAGCGGTTCTACCCTGTCCTTTAAGATGGTTCTAAGTCGGAATTAACGGGAGGAGTTAGCATTTGGGCAAGAGAAGACTTGACCAGACAGACTATGAGACCTGAAATGGCAATATAATTTCCTTCCTCTGAGCCCCCCCGATAGGTTCAGTGCTTCCTGATAGTTTGAAAGTCATCCACGAGTTAGGGATTCTAGTGTGATCTTACTGGTCAGCCACTACACAGATGATGTCGGACGCAAACCTACCTGCCAGTGAGCCCCAGGAGACACTTGGGATGAAAAAACAAGCTCTGGCAGGGCCCGGGCTTTCTAGAGACGAGTCAGAATGGGAGTGTCGGCTCCCCAGCTGGGGCTTAACCTAGTGATACCTAGTGTGAATCTGATTCACAGCAAGGTCCCCTCCCGAAGCCAACTGAGACCTATGCAGGACATCAACTAAGATCCTCTTCAATATATAAAATTGGGTTTTATTAGATGCTTTGAAAGTTAATTCTCCAGGGGACCTGAAAGCAGGGAGCAGGTGAGGAGACAAAATACAGAATGGAATGGTTTGTGCCAAGGAGCCTTCTGCTTTGATAAACGGGTCTTGTATGGAGCTGCTCCAGTGAACTTGGCCCTGTACACAGCTGTAGAAAAGGGCAGTGGACCATTTCAAGCTCAGAAAACGTGTTTTAAAGATGCCACTTTCTCATTTGGCGGGGAAATCCCCTTAAATGTAATGTTCAAATGAAGCTGAGGGCCGTGGTGGTTTTGACCATCCCACGGGAAACCGTATCTGGCACATCCGTGCAGCCAAGGTGCACCCTGCAGAGGGCGGTGTTCGGAGCATGGGGCCAGTCTTAGCTGCTTATCTTGGACCCTCTGACGGTGGACCTTCAGTCTCAGAGGCACACCTTTTACACAATGATGACAGCAATTCAGTGGGAGAACCAGCTCACAAGGCACATGCCGGTTGACTAAAAAATCCAGACACTCCGTCTGTAAGAGCTTTATATTAAAGCGTAATTGTATATTAAGAAAACATCCCAGATCAAGTTCACAAGTCCGATTAGCTCATAAGTCCAATACTAGTCTATAAATTCCTCTTCAGACGCACATAGCCACTCGTAATAATGGCAAATGCAGGAAGATCACAGGCCGGTGGGTGGAAAGTCCTGTGGACCCAGTGACGGAGGACACCTCCAGGGCTCTGGCTGCCGTCCGCATGGCCCCATGTGTCGTGTCAACAGGAAGGTGACCGCAGAGAGAGTGGCCAGACAGGAAGTTCCCAGGATCCTCAGGAGAAGGGCATGCCTTTAAGGAGGTGACATCAGGCTGTGACCTAATTGACAGACGAGACTCCACCCCTTCACTCTTAACACCCGCAAGTTGACACAAGATTATGTAACTACCACACCTTCCTTTCCTAATTCTGCCTGGCTCTTCCCGGAGCAGCAGGGCAGTAACCCTGAATAACACCTTGCAGAGCTTAAAAGGCTCCTCTGTTGATCTGCCTTTAATTCTACCACATGTAACCTTTGAAGTCGAAACCATTTTCCCTGGTCTGCCAAGGGTGCTATTTGCTCTTGTGTTCCTAAAAATCATTGTTTTCTCTCGTTCCTTAAAGCCCAGCAAGCATCCCCTCTCGCAGCAGCAGTCAGACTGCGTCTGACACCCTGATGCGCAGCGCCCAGACCACTGGGCCCGCCCTTCGTCAGTGCATTGGGCCTGTGCTGCACTGCCTGGCCTCCTCATCCCCTTTTCATGTTCAGCGGGCATGAAACATCTGCATGTCTCCACATCTGGTTAAGGAGGAACATGCTGTTTATTATCAGGCAGCTTAGAGTAGGCCAGGGTGTTTTGAGAGATTCTGATCATTAAAAGTTCTCAAACATCTCTGAACACCAGAAGTTCAAGGAGAAGAGGATGATATGAAGGGGCCTTTCTGGATTGAAATGGGTCTGTTAGGGATTGAAGGAGCCTCCGTCGCACTGTGCGTTAGGCCTTGGACTGCTGACTACCAGGTTGGTAGCAGTTCAAGCCCACCCGCCAATCCGGGGAAGAGATGAGGCTGGCTGTGTAGAGATTCACAGTCTCCAAACCCCCAAAAGACTGATGTGGGGAAAAAAAGAGACTGATGGGTCAGAATTAACTTGATGAAGGTAGATTTGGGGGCTTTTGTTAGAGATTAATTGTTTCCCCAAAATAAGCATTGTAAATCCCAACCTCTGTGCTAGATGCCCATTTGGGACTAATAGTTTTTAAATAATGTAATAATTATGAACTATTCATTGAAGAATGTATTTAAAGACTAAAGAATGTCCTATGGAATCACATACGTAACAACAGGTTCTCCTATGCACCAGGCAGGACAGTCTAGGGCAGCAGTTCTCAACCTTCCTCATGCCGCGACCCTTTCATACAGTTCCTCATGTGGTGGTGACCCCCAGCCGTAACATTATTTTCGTTGCTGCTTCGTAACTCATTTTGCTACTGTGATGAATCGGGTGACACCTGTGAAAGGGTCGTTTGACCCCCAAAGGGGTTGTGACCCACAGGTTGAGAACTGCTGCTCTGGGATGATAAGGCAATATGAAGGAGATTAAATGCCAGCTAGCAAGCAGAGATGGCTGCATAGAGGGAGAAGCCTAGGGAAGATCTTGGCCCATGAGCTCTAAGGGCCCAGGAGCCTCCCCCAGAGGAAACGGAAGCCTTCCCCTAGGACCAGTGCCTCCTCCACTGTGAGGAAGTAAAGCTGTCCGTGGAGCCGCTGGCTGTGTCTTGCAGCAGCAGGGGTGGGGGTGGGGGGTAGCAGGGACAGGAGCCCAAGTGGTGATCCACATTGATCCCTGCCAACTGTGGGAGATACGTGCTGGGCATAGGGCAGGTTCTGAGTACATCCAGGCGGGCTTTGCCGTTTATCAAACATTGACAAGCGTTTGGGGTCCATTAAGGAGTGAAGGAAGTGGGGGGAGAGGCCTGGGGGAGCTGTGCTGGGATTGAATGAAGTAAGACGGCAGGTATTGGCTCTCCTCACTACAGATCCCCCTGACGCTGCTTGCCAACGGGTGCCCAGCTAGTGACAAAGCTGGGCATGGAGGAAAGGGTCTTTGACTCCCCCACTTCCGATGCTTCTCTCCTGCCACACCTTTCATTTAACTGTGTGGGCACATGCAACAGCATGGAGAAGGCGGGGTGGGTGTGGGGGCTGGGGGGCTGGTTTCAAGGCTGTTGACGGAGAGCATTTCCCTTAACTTGGAGCAGACGGGTGGCTTGGTGTGGCAGCACGTACCTGAGGGTTTGTTCTGTTGAACAGTCTGATTCTAGAGGCCAACAGTAATTCCCAAAGCCATCCTCACTGCCACTGAGTCAATTCTGACTCAGCAACCCCCTAAGGGTAGAACTGCCTGGTGGGTTTCCAGAGACTGCACCTCTCCTGTAGAAAGCCTCATTCCCACCCACGAGAGGCCAGTGTTTTGAACTGCTGACCTCAAGCTCGGCAGTCCTACACATCACCACTACTCCACCAGGGATCCAGGGGCCCCCAAACAGGATCGCCCTAGGACTCTGGAACCATCTGCCCCTCCTGCAGAGGTTGACAACAGGAGCTCCACAAGGTCTTGGTGGGGTTTGCCTCGCCCACAAGCTACCCTTGTCTTTCCCAGAGACAGAGAGTCACCAAGACCCTTGCCCAAGTGACCCCAGGGAAACCCCACGCTGCAGCCTCCAAATCGGTGTTTTATCAGCCAACCAACATCAGGCTCTTA